CGTAAATGAAGGAATCTCAATTCCATATGAGTTGATTCTAAATAGGCAGAAACTCAATTCCAGAGAGGTCGGAATCTTGATTCCATAGATGTAGGGATCTCCATTCTATTTGGGTCGAATCTCGTTTCTTGTAAAGTAGGAATCTTGTTTTCCTCAATTCTCCTCATACGAAAGTCAATTCCGAAAAAAAGAATCTTCTAACCAGCCGTGATTCTGCTATTCTGGTTCCTAAAATGATTCAGAATCTTAGGTGTTTCCCAGAACTATAGCCACAACTCAAAGGACAGAAACTAACAAAATTTAGAAATATGATGAACTCTAGTCTAAGGTTGATGCTCACGTCTATGATAAACATCAAATGCACATGAATCTGAAGATGCTGCCATTTGCCATCATCATTGTTATTCTCCTCATATTCATCTTCTTCCTTACTCTTATTTGTGTCAAACCTTTTCCTCCTCTTTGCTTACTCGCACTGGCTCTTCCCTTTGCCTTCACCTACCCATTCCTTTGAGTTTGAGATCTTGTAGCCCGCATAAGGCTAGATGCCATACTAGTCAGTTCATGAACTTGGGTCCATGTCAAGCTCCCTCATGCAAATACGAGTTCATGCACAACATCCTCCTCAACCAACCAATCATTTGATTCATCCATATCATTCACAAGGATGGGTCCGATTTCATTCTGCAGTAAATGGAGCTCTTTCAGCTTCTAATTATACTAAACGAAAGTAAGGTCATTCGGTCTCTTTAGCTGGAGTCTATTTCTCTTCTTCGTTTGTATCTGTTTCGTAATGCGTGATTGCAATATTAGAATTATATTACTTAAGAAAATATAATACGAGTTATGGTGGTAGGAGAGGAGGACAAATGGCGAGTTTACCATTTTGAATGTGCTGAAATTGTTCTCGCATCCGGACGATGTAAATGTCAAATTCAAAATTCGTTCAGCCATCCTCTGTAAGCATATGGTGCTTTATCCATGGTTGGTCCACCATGAAGGTATGGTACATTAAAAATAAATAGAATATATATATATGGAAAAAGTTCTTGTACGCCCATGTGCGTATCGCTACAATAAACAACCAATGGCCCAGATCGAATCTGGGCCGATCTAACGATCACGGTTATCCGAGAGTGTTTGAATTTTAATTTTTTTTATACAAATCAGAATGATCTGAAATTTGGAGCGTGTGTACATCTTAGTGAGGCACACCTAATAAAAATATAAAAAAATAATTCGCAAAAAACAAATTGATCAAAATACCCCTGAAACTTTTAGGGGGTATTTTGGTCAATTTATTTCATGTAAAATATTTTTTTGATATTTTTTGTAGATTCGCCTATTTTTGATGAATGCACACTCCAAATTTCAGATCATTCCGATTTGTAGAAAAAAAAAATGAAAAATAAAACACTACTGGACATCCATGATCGTCAGATCGGCCCAGATTCGATCTGGGCCGTTCGGTGTTTGCTGTAGAGGTACACGAATCGGCATACTGTAGCATCTTTCCTATATATATATATATATATGTATATATATATAGTAAATTTAGAAGTCAAGTTAAAGTTTAGAAGTAAGAAGTAAGAACTTAAATAACAAATACATCATCAGGATGCATGGATAGATATTAATCCTTTGCCTTATTGCAATGTCTCTCCCAAGTGTCCTAGAGTAGTGATACTTGGCAAGCTCCAAAGACACTTTGTTTGGGATGTTCGACTCGGGGTTGAGCTTAACATTGCACTTGTTAACTGCTTGAATGAGAATCCTTAGACTTTATCCTAGGATCAGTATATTAATAAGCAGGGTTGAGCCAGTACCCTGCTAGGTGTAGGGGCCCCTCCAGCTGCGAATCCTTTGTCTTCTACAATTTTCAAAATAGGGGCATATCTACTTTCCTCATTCAAGTTTAGCTTGATTTCATCTTCTGCAACCTCCATTGCCTTGTACATATGCCTCATTCCCAGTTCTTTTTCACTATCCACAAGGTGCAAAACTTCTACAAGTGGCTCCAAAAGATTGATGCAGCACTTAATCCCATTCCAAAATCAGGGTGTTATAACAATGTCACACTCCTTTTCCGCCTTTGTATCCTTAGACCACTTGATTTTCTTCCAATCTGAAGAGGCATTTGATCATGAATAGATTTCAAAGACAAGTACGAGGTTGCAAGCCTTGTGAGCCCTGGCCTTACCAAGTCTTTTTCTTCTGTATACTTCCTCATTATGGCTAAGACATTGGTGTGGTTGTATATGAAAACTGTAACGAGTTTTGCTTCTTTAGTTTCCCCTCCACCACTTTCATCTTGTTGATTGCCTCAAGCACGAGGTCAGTGCTTTGCGCTGCAAAAAGCATCCGAAAATGTACAGCCTCTTCGAATCCATACATTCTAGCAGCCTCCATATTGGCCTTAGCCATATCAGTAAAACTTCCACGACATGTGCCTCCGGCCACCTCCTCAGTGCACTTACTAAATAAAAAATGGCCTTTCACATCATGATCTTGTCAGATGTGTCAATGGACCTAATACATATTGTCCCAATAGAGCAAGTATCCATTAAGTTCATAATGCTTCTTGTCATCTTTTTGCTCCAAGTATCTGTCATATGGTGACCCCACTCCTGCCCCATGCATCCTTGTGGGGCTTGAGGTACTCATTTGTGAGCTCCGCCTCTTTCTTCAACAAAGGTGCCTTGACCTCATATGGTGCAGGGGCTTTATATGCTGGCCCAAACTGCCCCACTGCTTCCAATATAGCTTGGAAGCTTTTCAAGCTAGAAATATTGAATGACAGACCTGCGTGGTAAAACCATCAGGCTACAAATTGAGATGCCTGATCCCTGTCGTCTTTCTTAGAGTGGCTCTTAATACTAGTCTGCTCTCTCAAATTGCCACCTCAGGATCGGGAGGGGGAAATAAGAATCAATAGGTCCCTTTTTTGCTCATCTTTCGCCTACCATGTAAATGATTTAGCATTTCTTTCCTAATATCTGCATGCACTTGAGTACATGGGGCTCAATCCCTCTAATGCTGGTCAAATGCTTCTTCAATTTATTAATGCCAACATTATACTCCTTCACCTAAACCCCAAAAGTTGCCCAAACCACCAAACCCAAACTTGAATACACATACTACAGGTCCAGTGCTGAGATAAATTCATAAAAGCCAGATTAATTCACAAACCCAAATATTTGAGAAATGAATACAAACCAGTTAGGAATGAGCAATAAATCAACTATTTACTATCATATTGTTTAATAAACAACCACACAGTCTAAAATGGACAACTTAAACTCGTTATTGAATCAATAATGTAAATCACTATCACAATCTCCAAAATATGCAATGAAGCCATTAATGCCACATTAAATATTAAAAGCAAATCATCCAAATTTATAAATGGGCAGTAAATTAGAAAACAATTCCCTGTTCTTTTTCATATTTGGACAATCTTAGGAAGAACAAAACCTGGAATGCTTAAGAAAAAGCCAAAAATAAATGTCAAAAAATTCATAATAGACCTACATATCAATAGGCCAGTAATTGGAAGAGTAATTGGAAGCAAAAAGTGAAAATAAATCCACATAAACATTAACCAAATTGAAAAGCTCAACAAACCATAAATATCACGAAACCCTAAACCAAGAAATGAATACACCAACCTCTCAAAATCCAATTAAAACCTGGCTCGAATCTGTGAGTTTTGGTTGCTAGAAGACTTCTTTTGCAACCGCTTCAAGTCTCAAAATTTTTTGGATTGAATGCTTTTTGATTTTGCAAGAAATCAGAAAGTTTAAAATTCTTTCAATCTACAAAAAACATAAATACCAAATGTTGGTTTTGGGTTTGTTTCAAGCTCTAATTCAACACAAATGGGTCTTGGGAGCTAAAATGCCACCCATAACCTTTCCTCCGCTTTTTCTTTGGGGTGGGGTGGGGGGGTTTTGCAGGGGGGAGAGGGGGGGGGTGCACGGGGTTGATGACTGCTTTTGCCCTTGGCTGAGGGCTTTTTCTGCCCTCAACCAACATGTATCATCGGGCCATCTAGGTGGCCCAAGGGCGCCTAGCTGCATGCTCGAGAACAAAACCGAATAGGGCCTACTTAGGCCTTTTGGTGTGGTTAGCCCCCTAGACCACCAAGCCAGCCAGGTGGCCGAATTTTTTATTATTGTACTGACTTTTCTTTTTTTTGGTTTGTATCCTAATTTTTACGATATACTACTGTATGCTTGTGTGGGGATGTGTGTGTTTGTGTGCATATTCGTGCATGTGTGTGCATCTGTGCAACTGCATGTTTGTGTGTGTGTGTGAGAGAGAGAGAGAGAGAGAGAGAGAGAGAGAGAGAGAGAGAGAGAGAGAGTAGTTAGTTTAGTTTAGTTTGTTCGTCGTCTACTACTACTAGTTGTAGTAGTAGTTAGGTTAGTTAGTTAGTTAGTTAGTTAACGTTTATTTAGTTTGTTTGGTTTCGTTTCGTTTCTTAGTTAATTT